GCTAATCCTTTCATATGATAATAAGAATGGTTGAGCACGAGGACTCGTTTTGAAAATGAGGCCAAGGGTAATTCGCAAATAGGCTATTTTCAGAAATCTAGAAAATAGCAACAAAAAACGGGGTCCATTTCTGGAGTTGCCGTGATTACCCATGCAGCCCCAACTAACATACTGGCTTAGTGACCCCAACTTTTCAGATATCTAGAAAACAGCAACAAAAAACGGGGTCCATTACAGGAGTTGCCAGTGATTACCCAGACACCACACTGGTTTAGTGACCCCAATTTTTAGATATTTAGAAAATAGCAACTAAAACGGGGCCCATTACAAGAGTTTCCAGTCATTATCCATACACTCCGCACTAACACACCGGTTAAGGACCCCAACTTCGTTATCTAGAAACTAACAACAAAAAACGGGGTCGATCAGTCGGGAGTTACCAGTGATTACCTATACACCCCGCTCTAACACGCTGGTTTAGTGACCCCAACTTTCAGATATCTAGAAAATAGCAACAAAAAACGGGATCGATTTCGCGAGTTTCCTGAGTGATAACCTATACACTCCGCTTTAATGCTCCGGGTCCAATGTTTAGATTTCTCAGTAGAAAATAACAGCAGAAAACAGGGTCGATTTCGGGAGTTTCCAATAATTACCCATACACCTTGCACTATTACACCGGTTAATGACCTCAATTTTCAGATATCTAGAGAATAACAACAAACAACGGGATCGATTTCGGGACTTGCCAGTGATTACACATACACCCTGCACTAATACACTGCTTAATGACCCCAATTTTCAGATATTTAGAAAATAACAACAAAAAACGGGATCGATTTCGTGGCACCTCGCCCTATCACACCGGTTAATGAGTTTCCAATGCTTACCTTTTCATTTCACATGGAGACTTCTGTTACTTACAATTTGTATAGATTTGAAATAACAATAAAGAATGGGGTTCATCTCTCACGTTTCTGGTGACTAGCGATACACCCCACATAACTGACATCGCTTAATAACCCCGAATTTTCAGATATGACTTAAAATTATGACTTCGCTAGTTTTCAGCGCATATCTTAACAGAGGGTCTGAATGGGGGGTCCACTTTTTGGTTAATATTCAGTCGTTTTGTCTGTAGTCGGTAGTATTTTTCGCCCTTTGTCGCTAGTCGGTTAAGCAGCACGACGGGTTGACCGGTCCAGTTTGTAACTTCTCGGATAATGTGGACTAAAATGTGCAAAAAGGGCCAAAAAGTACTCCATTTTCAAATATTTGGAAAATGATTGAAAGTGATAACCTATATACCCCGCACTAGGAGATGGTTTAACGACACCGATTTTTAATTCTTTGGAAAACTATCGTCAGGGACTCGATATTGTTTGTTCAACCACAGAAACTGGGTCATTAGGCCACTTGGGTAGAAAGGGACTACCCGCAGGTCAAAAAGAACGTTATCCTAGCTTCTTGAACCATCTTAGACAGAAGGGTCACTTATCGGTATCTAATCTACTTGGGCTATCCATGTACGTTCGATTTCTCAAAAAAGTTTGAGGGATGTCAGTGTTGATTCTGTAGAGTCCAGGCAGATAGATTGATGTTTGGAATTACAGCTTTATTGTAATTACAGCTAGTAACACGCTAGGGCTGTGAATTTATCAATTAGTATGAAAGCGCAAATGGAGAAAAGAATCTTACACGCATATTTGCAAATGTATATGCACTACTGATAGTAACTGTTTTACTTGAATGTATAAAAATTTTAGAATTACATTGATTTATTGAAATAGTGCAAGGTTGTGATGTCCTTTGCAACACTATTCTCACCAAAAAGTAACAGAAAAAAGTGCATAAGTTTGGAAGCGCGGTGGCCTCATAATTAGTGCGCTCGCCGCTCCGGATT